AGTAGTATGGAGGACATGCAAGTGAATGCAAAACACGCGGTTGTGAAGGCGAGGGAAAGGGGACGCACCTGCAGACCGAGGAGTTGCCAAAACGCCACGCCCTTGTCTTGGTCAGAGAGACACTTCTGCGCATATTCAAACAGCCGTTTGCTGGTCGCCATGAGCTGACGGGCCCGGGTCACTGTGCAACGTGAGCCATCAGGCTTCTCGCAAATCCCATTCGCGTTGGCGTGTGGGCACTGATTTTGTTTCCGACTCAACCGCTCGCTCTGTCGCTTCACAGCTTGCGCGTATTTACCCACATTGCCGGCAAATGCCGTAAAAGGAAACACCGCCAATACAGCATGTAGTGGCAGGTACGCGATCGCAGTGATGCGCCATTTGCTTTCCTCCAATGTCTACAACACAAGAAACATGCATGCGCACTGGACACACAAAAGCAACACCACAGCGAAGGCATGTTCATTTAAGCTGCAGCAGCGGCTGCAGTAGTAACATCCATACTGCATTGCGTCAATTTACCTGTGGACAGTACGTCGGCATTAGCTGTGGTGGAAATGGTGCGGATTTAGGCCCAATGCATCCCATACGTTCATATAGAATCTCCTCTTCCACGTCTTTGGATCCACCATTGGCATTGGTGCCATGTGGTTTTGGAGGCCGTGGCTGTTCCCATGTCAGCACCTCAAGCTACAATAAACAATGCGTACGGCGTTCAGGTTGGGCAGATGCATTGGCTATCGGTGCAGTTAGTGTGGTAAAGACACTTACAGAAATGTCACCGGCGTATCTGGAACACCTCAGAACAGCTCCCAGTGTGACAAAACTAGGCTCACTTGGCGTCTCCATGAATAACTGCCAATCCTGTGTCCAATGACGCTTGCATTTTGGAATGTAGAAGAGAACGACACGACCTAGTGGGAAGGCCTCGTCAAGTGCCTCCTGAGGCAGCTCGGCAGCTGCATTTGCACACTCCTCCGCAAGTTGTCGCCACCGACAGCAGGCCTGGTAACAAGGCAATGCACATAACACATGCAAGACGACGCGTGACTGGCACTCTTACATGCCGAGCAGACGAGTGACCAGCACTTGAAACGGTGCCAGTACCCGATCTAACCTTAAACAGCCTTGTGGAAGAGGCTGTTGCGAGAGCAAAAAGCACCTCATCGACAACTGGATGACACATGCGCACTGCAAACGAACTAACAAATTCGCACCTTGTAGTAGAGGGCCATCTCGGTGACGCATGGAGCAGAGCCGGATTGAGCTGAGGTGAGAGGATATGCAGGACACCGCACCTGCAAATTGC